ATTAATACAACTACTTTTGTATCTTAAGAGAAAAATAATTCTAAACTTATTTTAAATTGATTTATGTAAAAAAAACTCCTTTGAAAAAATTGTCATTTTCGGCCCTTTTCTTAGCACCTAGCCCATATATAATTTATGGTTCGCATCACTAATTTAGTTTGCATGATGCTCTAAAAAAAGACCGAAAATTCGAACTGGTCCATAGGAGTAATGACAACACTTGACTAAGTAGATTATCTTTTTTGAATTATACAATATCGATATCAAATGAATTTAACTATTTCTTATTATAATTCTGACAGTATAAAAAATTGCATTATGCATTTAAACTAAATTAACACTACATAATATAAGAATGAAAACCAGATTAAAAGACTAATACATAGTAAATTTAATAAGTATAAACGAATAAATAAAATGTATTCATATTTATTATTGTAATATTTTACAATTGGCATTCACTTCTGGCAAAAAATATATATATGAGAACCATGTACTGGGTTTCCATCCCTAATAATATTCAACAAATTAAACGATAACATGTACTCATTTCCACGTTTACCATGTTTACCAAGCTTTAGAGGTACATCGGATGGACCTTCACAAATTTCAACATCCGACGGTCAACCTTGGATGTCAACACAATACTTCAAGTTCAAGTTGATTACAGATGATAGTATTGATGTAGTAGCAAATATGTTTTTACAAGATATGACACCAGAAGGTCAACAATCAATTAAATACGATTTTATGTTAGCTGCTACCCGAAGCTTACCATATGGACGTGTAGGAGATAAAGAGATAATCATAGTGATGAAGATTGACCGTGTGGTAAATCTTTATTATCTGGATAGCTTCGATCATGTTAATGGTTTCGATAATGTTCATGTCAGTGTTAGTGATCTAATCGATGAAGAAACATGTGTAAAGGAGGCTATAACTTTACATTATATTTATACTGACCGTCTTGACACATACATCGAGGACACTACACGATACAGGCGTACATTTAACAAACTTGTTGATCATCGGCATATTCAAGTAACTCATTTATTAAGTGGTTAGGAAGTAACAGATCTCTCAAGAGAAGACAATTTTTCAGTGAGAGTTGTAACACAATATTATAATTGGGATGGTGTACGCCTAGCATCTAAGATGCTAAACAGATATAAATCTCATCAAATAGTTAATGCATTTATTAATAAGATTTTTGATTTGGATAAATTTACATATATTAATATGTATACTGGAAGAAGAAATAAATTTAATCGTAAAATATATAAGAGGGTTAAGCGTAACAGTTACAGTGTTCCTATTATTCCCTTTGATATATATAATGACATTTTTATTAAATATGCTAAGAATATTAACTTTGTAGAAGTATATACCGAACTTTTTAGTAAAAATAGAGAAATGATTGAAACAGTAATTGAGTTTAATGGCCAATTAATTTAGTTTATATTCTGTAGTTTATTAATTATTTTTATTAAAGTTTAAAAAAAAGGAATGTTGAAAAATAACCGAATGAAAAGAATATAAAAAACTTTTTTTAACAAACTGGCTATTTGATAGAAAAAAGTTCGTCATTAAAAAATTGTTACATGTTCATATATACCGATGAACCTTATGTTATAAGGAAGCTCATTGAAAGAGGACAACTGTATTCTTAAAGTTTATTGGTCGAATTAATTTCATCAATTGTCAGTAATTCAAAATTCCGTCAGACGAAACCATTGACTTCAACGCAAAATAACTTTATCTCCCACCATTAATATGAATGTTTGGCCATTTTGGCCCAAATAGTTTTTCGTCCAATTTGGCCAACACTGGTTATACTATATTAATCTATAATACTATATACCGTTGTCAAGTTACATGATAACTTCTACTCATAATTGTTATTGGTGCCAAATTTATTGTTTTTAATAGAGAAATAAGTACTACGTATTAAATCGTTTAATTAAATAGTTTGCAATGCGGATTAGTATTTTTCTATTACAATACACGCACTATTTATATTTATATCACTTTGAAAACAACAGAAATCTATTCAAAAGAATACTTTAAAATTAGTGATGATATTTATACATATGCTATAATATACGCAAATTTTCAATATTAATTTTCATACGTATCAAGACAATGTAGCATATCGATATATTTATCCAATAACAAGATAAACCGGTATTTGCTAATGTAAATACAGAAATATATGTATTTGATTTAAAAATATTATACAATATATGTATATATTATATATTGTATATCTTATATACAGCAATAGGTTATCTTCATTTTTTAAATTACAATTTAAATTTATTAGTATACATCAAATGAATATTTGTTAAAAATTACATATGATAATAAAAATCAGTCAGCATTAACCAGCATATATGTACAGTACGCATGAAATTTTTATATTATATTCAGAGTCACGTGTAGAAACAAGATTGTACATAGTGTAAATGCTTAGATACATCTCAATTTTCCAATAAATAGATGAATACAAAATACCAGGTTTGTTTTTGAAGATATCAAAAACAAAACGCCAACTTGAGAAATTAGCAATTATTTGTCTGTGTCCATTGTTAATATAATGCGCTGTGAGTACATTTAAATAATTTCGTATAGTCTTTATGAATATTGACCGATAATTATTTACTTTAGATCACGAAGAAGGCTAGAGTCCCAAACCAACAAATCCTCCACTCCCATGGAAAAAATCACCAGAAGAAAAAAAAACCACCTGAAATTTGTGTTTCGCTAGTTTTTGTAAAGGAAATGATCATATCGAATGGAGTATTAACTATTGGTCCTGGGACGATATTCATTCGGACATATATTTGCGATGTTCTTTCTGCTTTCAAAATAACCACAATACTAATGATTGCAAATTTAAAAAAGCAATAGAAATCGAAAAAGAAAAATTTAGATGTAATCAATGTTCCAGAAAATGTAAACCAGTATATCACTTTAAGAGTGAAAGGTGTCCTTACGAATAGAATAACAATTGGGCGAATTATTTTAAGGAAATTAATTTTTAATTATAAAAATTTAAAAATTTAATTAGCAAAGTTATTATTTACATTGATCATATTTTTTATAATAAAATTTATTCTAAATACTTCCTGTAAAAAGTTTTCTTATAAATAATATAACCTATATATTAGAATTCTAACTAGCAAAAATATACAAGTAACTCTCTATATAAGAAACCTTCTATATAAGAAATTCTTGATATAAGAAAGATTTTATAGGCCCCAATTGAAAATTTTAAAATAAAAACCATTTGATATAAGAAAATTTTGATATAAGAAAGATTTTGACTGAACCTGGCAACAAGAGTCACTTGTATAATCAGTAGATTTGAAACGTATATTCAAACAGTCATGTGTAGAAACGGATTTTATCACCTATATCCATCTTCAATTTGCAAGATTTAATGATTTCGCATTTCACCTTTTTTTTTATTTAACTCATTTTTTTCAGTTAGTTATTTTGTTTACTATATATATTTTTTCACGAAGCTTTTGTTCAAATCAATCGCGCGAGAATACATCACTAGTTTTACGTGATATTCCATATCTGTATATAGTACCATGTGATATTTTGCTATTAAGAATTGATTTCGAAATAGCTTAAAATATTAAATATTATTTTATAAATACAAGTACGCGTTAAAGCCTTTGAAACCTGATTTTTAAAATAGATTAAAAAACCAGGTTGAAGAATGTAGTTTAAAGAATTCATATTTATTAAAAACAGAATCAACTTGTAATAAGAGGCTGTGCTAACGCAAAAAAACTTTATAAAAATTTGCTTATTATGTAGCGAAAAAAATGGCATAAAAGAACTTATAAATGCTTTTAATCCCTTTTAAGAGCTGCTTGACATGTTAAAATCTTATTGACAAATTAATTTCTATAAAATGCCTGCCATTCGTCAGCCTTTCAGAACTTATGAAGTTTAAGCACAAATAAGGTAAATTTAAATTAATTGATAAATAAATACACTTACTATAGAGCATAGCGGGCTTTCATTGTAATTGGCTGATTTTTGTAGATCATCCTGTGATATTGCAAAAATTTCATTGGTTAATCGACATTATTCGCAAGACAAATTTTGTACGAAACTATATTCTGATATAATTAATCATTGAATATTTATTACTACCATATAAAATCAAATTGACATTAATAAATGCATTACTATGAAATCTATCAACTCAAAGTTTAAAACCATCATCCCGATACAAAAATTCCAAGGTTTTTTTTTAAAAAGATACTATTACATCAATTTAAAAAAAATAAAAAATAAAAAATTATACATAAAAAGTACGAAAAACAAATAAAAAATATAAACTATTTATTTTAAAAGACTATAAAAATCGTATAAAGAATTTTTTAATTGTACATGATAACAGTTAATTAATACTAAACGAATTTAACATTGAATAAATCACTAACTCTTCCCAACGATCACTTGTACCAAATTTTTCTTAAAAACAATTGCTATTTTCTCAAAATTTTATT